CAAGAGGGCTGGTGCCGCCCCCAGGCGAGGAGGACGACGAGTTCCTGGACCAGGAGGACATTGTCACCCGGAGCCTCTTCCCGGAGAGCTGGCTGTGGCAGGTGGAGCGGCTGACGGAGAATCCCAATAAACTGGGGTGAGCCCTCTGCCCTTGTCCCACCACCCCTCGGGGCCACCTGTGACACCTTGCTCCAGCACAGGGACCTTCTACAACCCCCTGGTCTTGCTTGAGGAGCAGCCACGACCCCCCCACACTGCAGCTTGGTGGCTGGGTACACCTCCCTGGTCCGGCCTGGGGCTGCTTGTGACCCCCTTGGTCATTCCCCTCCTCTCCAGGGTCTCCACAAAGATTCTGCCCATCTACCTGAAGGACTCCATCACCACGTGGGAGGTCCTGGCCGTCAGCCTCTCGGAGAACAAGGGTACGTGGTGGAATGGGAAGGTGGCCCTGGGGAGGAAAGGAATCCCCCCAAAGCTTGAGGATGGTCCCTGGGACTTGGAGGGTCCCCAAAAGCCTGGTGGGCTTCCTTGGGGTTTGAGGGATCTGCACAAGAACATTGGAGAGGTGCCCCAAGCTTTGGAGAGATCCCCCAAAGCCTGGTGGCAGTCCTTGGGACTTGAGGGGTCTCCTAAATCTTGGGAGGACTCCATGGGACTTGAGGGATCCCCTCAGTTCTGGGAGGTCTCCTTGGGTGACTGGAGGGACCGCTGAAAGCCTCGGGGACCCCCCTGGGACCCGAGTGGGGCCATCAAGGCCCCTCAGCCTGCGCCCCCCTGTCCCTCGGGCCACCCCCCAGGGCTGTGTGTGGCCGACCCCTACGAGATCACGGTGATGAAGAACTTCTTCATCGACCTGCGCCTGCCCTACTCGGTGGTGAGGAACGAGCAGGTGGAGATCCGGGCCGTCCTCTACAACTACTGGGAGTACCCCATCACGGTGGGCACGGGGGCCAGGGCGGCCTTCTGGTGGAGGAGGAGGGGTCCGCGTCCACCCGAGGCCCACGGCCAACCCCCGGGTGCCCGCAGGTGCGCGTGGAGCTGATGTACAACCCGGCCCTCTGCAGCGCCTCCACCTCCAAGTCGCGCTACCAGCAGATCATCAAGATGAAGGCCCAGTCGTCCTGGGCGGTGCCCTTCGTCCTCGTGCCCTTGCACCTGGGGCTGCACGACGTGGAGGTGAAGGCGGCCGTGCGGGGCAAGGACGGCGACGGCGTCAAGAAGAGGCTCAAAGTTGTGGTGAGCTGCTGCTGGTGGCGTCTCCGCGGCGTGGGGCCACCTCCTCCCCGAGGCGTCCTCACCCCGGCGCTGGTACCCAGGGATGGAGGGTCTTCCCCCCGGGATGCTCCAGTGTGGTCTGCTGGGGCTCTCCCAGTTTGCCTCGTGACCTCGGGGGGCTGGTTTATACTGGGACCCCTTTCCCAGACCCCCCCAGAGAGGCTGGGAAGGGGGGACCTGAAACCAGCGTTGGCCTCTCGCCTCCGCCGCCCGACAGGATGCGGCTGGGAGGCTGGAGAAGACGGTGAAGATCATTGAGCTGGACCCGCAGAACAAGGGAAAAAGTGAGTGGCCCAGGCTAGTCTTGGGGATGTCCCACTGAGGGGAGGTCCTGGGGGCCTGGGACACTTTGGAGGTTGAAGGTTGTGCCACCAAAGGTAGGACTGGGGCGTCCCGGGGGCTAAGGGACATCCCACTGTGGAGCTGGGACACCTCAGGGCATGAGGTGTGTCCTGTGGAGAGCCTGGGGCATCCTGGGAGACAAGGAGCATCCTGCTCTGGAGCTGGGGCCTCTCAGGGGAGAAGGGAAGGGCCATCCTGCTGTGGCTCTGGAACACCTCGAGGGCCCAGGGACATCCTGCTGCAGAAGTGAGACAGGGCTGGGTCACCCTGGGGGGCTCCCCCATCTCCATCCCGACCTCCCTGCCCTGCAGACGGGGTGCAGGAAGAGCAGGTGAAGGCGCTGAACCTCTCGGACATCGTCCCCAACACCGAGTCCGAGACCAGAGTCAGCATCCAAGGTGAGTGCCGGGCAGGGGCCACGTGGGGCCGAGCTGGGGAGAGGGGGTGGGACCCGCCGGGGTGACACCTCCCTTCTCCCGGCCCAGGCAACCCCATGTCCATCCTGGTGGAGAAAGCCATCGAGGGCAGCAAGCTGAAGCACCTCATCGTGACCCCCTCGGGGTGCGGGGAGCAGAACATGATCGGGATGACCCCCACGGTCATCGCCACCCACTACCTGGACAGCACGGCCCAGTGGGAAAACCTCGGCATCGACCGGCGCGCAGAGGCCATCAACCTGATCAAAAAGGGTGGGACCATCCCCCAAAAAGGGTGGGACCATCCCCCAAAAGGGTGGGACCATCCCCCAAAAGGGTGGGACCATCCCCCCAAAAGGGTGGGACCGTCCCCCAAAGGGTGGGACCATCCCCTGGTTTCCTCTCCTGGCATTCTGCAGCTTGGTTTGCTCTGGAGAGGGTTGGTGGCTCCTGAAGCCACCTCAGCTGATCTGGGTCCCCCTCGTGATGGCTGGAGGGCCTTGGTAGCCAACGGCCACCTCCAAGTGCTCCTGGGGTCGGCCAACCACCCTCTCCTCTCCCCAGGTTACACCCAGCAGCTCGCTTTCCGGAAGAAGGACAACTCCTACGCCGCCTTCCTCGGCCGACCGTCGAGCACCTGGTGAGGGTCGTGGTGTCCCCTCCGCCCCACGGGGGTCCTGGGGACAGCGGGGTGTGGGGCTGAGCTCCTCCCGTCCCCAGGCTGACGGCCTACGTGGCCAAAGTCTTCGCCATGGCCATCAAGCTGGTGGACATCGAGCCCGAGGTGGTGTGTGGCGCTGTGAAATGGCTCATCCAAAATGATGTTCCAGAAAGCGGCGCCCGTCATCCACAGGGAGATGGTGGTGGGGGGGGATCCAGGGCCTGTCTCTGCTGGGTGGGTCCTCTGCAGGGTGGGCTCCTGGGACGAGCTCCAGGGAATGGGCAGCGTTGTGGGGGGGTTAGAATCCACCCCCCTGAGGTTTTTTCCCCCCTTTTCAGGGTGGCTACGAGGGGGCTGAGCCCGACGTGTCCCTCACAGCCTTCGTCCTCGTGGCGCTGCAGGAGGCCAAGGACATCTGCAAGGACTTTGTCAACGTGAGTGACCCCGACCCCGCGCGGGGTGGACGGGCCGGGACCCCTCACGGGGAAGGACAGGGCCT